TGTGACTGGCACTGCCGCTCAGGGTGCTAACCAAGCCACTGTCACCTGGATACAGCCCACAGCCACGGACAACTTCGGTCAACTAATTACAAATGTGGCCCAATCCCACCAGCCAGGCCAACTGTTCAACATTGGTCAGACCGTGGTCACTTATGTGTTCACTGCCAGTTCTGGGAGCCAGGGTGTTTGCCAATTTACAGTGATTGTCAGTGGTAAGAACAGATCCCATATCCTATCATGGTGAAATTAAAAACAAACCTGTATATTCAAGAAAGTGGCATGATATCCCTTTGCCTTTCCAGTTTCGGTGTTAGTAAGGATGTGGAATCCTAGCCTGTGTCGGTAATAGGCATTGGTTTTTCCACAGCATGCCCCTTTGAAAAAATTTGAAACCCTAGACATGAAATGTCCAATTAAGACATTGCTTTCTTTCCAGTTAGAGAACTCATCTAATGTGTGTCCAAGGTTTCATCCATTTTTTTTATAATTTGTCATGTCTGAGGATTTTCAAGATTTTAGGATTTTAGACTCCAGAATCATAGATTTTAAAGGCATAGTCATCCAGGTGTTGTTTCTTTTCAGCATCTTGATTGTACAAAACAAGACCAGATTCATAGAATCACAGCAAGGTATGAGAGAACTCATGCCTTGTTAACTATGAAACATTCAGAAAAGTCAGAGCACATGTAACCTGGAAAAAAGACACACAATGGGGGAACTCGCGAAAACCAACATGAATCAGGGATCAAAAGGAAGAGTCGCAGGATATTTTCAAAAAGAAATGACAAAGGAAGATCAAATTTGATTTCAACAAGCAAAGAACAAGAAAAAAATTTATTTCACTGTGAACAGAGTAGAAAAAAATCCAAAACAAACCTCTGAATTAGAACCAGTGATTTTGGCTGAGTTTCTTAAATGTATGGACTAGGAAATGTACTCAACTCGTAACCAATTAACTTAAACCAACAGTACTGCTTAAACCAAGACAAACGTCAACCAGAACCAACACAGACTTAAATTATTGACCAACACCGACTTAAATTATTAACCAACACCGACTTAAATTATTAACGGACACGGACTTAAGTTATTAACCAACACGGACTTAAATTATTAACCAATACCGACTTAAATTATTAGCCAATACCGACTTAAATTATTAG